TCGCCCCGGCCTTTGCTGCCTGACCCTGCTCTGGCCTGGGCAGGGTGCCTGCGCGGTGACCTTTGGGCGGAGGGTGGGGGGGTGACTCACAGGGCAGGGCAAAGCCCCGTCACAGCGGCACGGCACAGCCCAGCCCGGGCTGCACCTTGGGCTCTGTTCAGTTCCCCATTCGCCCAGGCAGGGCTGGGGCAGCTGTGCAGCCTCAGCGCCCTCCCAGCAGGATTGCAGGCGCGCACACCCCGGCTCACCTAGAGCATTGAGAGCTCTCCCCTTATCCCCCACCCTCCACCAGCTATCTGGGCCCTGTGAGGCTACGTGTCTGGCTGCTGCCCCCTGCTCCCTGGCTGTGAGACCTGGCAGCGCCAAGGTCACCAGCTCCCAACCACTAGAAGAGGGAGAAGCCGCCTGTGGCACTCGCTGGCCAGTGCTGAGCTCTGGGGCTGTGGCTGGGAGGCAGCCCAGGCCCCCTGCCCTTCCCCGGTGCCAGTGGGGGAGGGGGTCTGTGTCCTGGCAAGCAGCCAGAACTGTTGCACGCATGGGAGGGAACTGGAGGCAGGAGACACAAGGGTTGAGTCTCCTTTGCACTATGCCCCTTTTAGGCCCATCTGGCAGCACTAGGGGTCATTATTGCTCACCACCCCCCACCGGGGCTCCCTCAGCTACTAGCACCTCCTAGCCCTGGGGCAGGCAGCTCTAACTGGTAGGGGGACAGGTCCCCAAATGGCCACCTCCCCTCAGTCCTGCACGCCGGGACTCAGAGGATGGGACTGGGGCCAGAGCGGGAGTCTGAGCAGGAGGTAGGAACCCAAGGGCTGGGCCTGGGGTAAAGGGAGGCCCAAGGGTCCATTGCAAGGGCACCACCTGGGAGCAGCAACCGGCCTGGGCATGTGCTGCCTGGCGCCACCCAAGGCCTGACCGACTGTGATGGCTTCCCGTGCACTGATCTCCGCGAGTCTCTGCACCGGCCCAGGGGTGATGCCAGTGCAGGTACATCAGCCCAGAGCAGCGCCCTGCACTGTGGGGGGAGATTGTGGGAGCTCCATCACTGGCCAGTCTTACACCCAAATTGTCTGGTTTTCCACAAGCTCTGCCTTGGACGTTAGTGGGGGGCAGGGCTCTGGCCTGTGACAGGGGCTAGGGGTCAAACTAGCTGATAACAATGGCTTCTTCTGGCCTTGCAGTCTTTGATTTGCCCCCTAGAGCCCCTGGGACATTGCAGGGGTGGGGAATCACCTAGGGGCAGGTTTGCCCCAATCTGCCCCCTCCTGTCTCTTTGGCCCTTCATGCCCAATCAGCATTAGGCTGGTAAAGGCAGCCCCCTCCTCCAACTCTACATGTAAACGAAATCCCCCCAGTTTCACTTGGGCTCTGTGTCGCCCGCTCTCCGGTGGGCAGCGCTGCTGGGAGCTTTCTGCTGCTCCTTGCAGCTGGTGACATAATCTGCACTGCTCAGTTTCCACTTCCAGCCAAAGCAGGCCAGGCTGCTTCCTTGTCACCTGCTGGCACTGGCTGCGCCACCCCTCCGCCCCGGGCCAGGCAGGCATGGGAACTTCCCACGCAGGGAAGAGATGGAAACCGAATCCGATGCCCCTGCCCCAGCCAAGGAGTGATCCCCGGCTTCCAGCAGCAGCCCACACTGGCCCCTCCCTTGTCACCCAGCTCGGCCTTTGCAGTTTCGTTTCTCTAGTGAATGGAAAACGAAACTTAGCAGATCAAAACCGGAGAAACCCTTAGCTCTGCTGCTGCCAGTTAAGGTGGCCTTAGGGAGCAGATCCAAAGTGCTAGCCCAGGTGCTTCTCTGCCCTGGCTCCCGCACTGGGGTGTACTATAGGTGCCCACCTCCCCCAAATCCTTCTGTTCTTCCTTCAGCCAGGCTTGAAAATGCCCCTCAGCCAGTGGGCAGGTAGTCGCTGTCAGGGTCAAGGGGGAACCTCTCCATCATTTAACCAGCCCTTTCGTAAAGGAAGGGGCCGGCCTGGCAGGCTTGCTGCTGGAGACGAAGCACAGCAGTGGGGAGGCTGCCATTAGGCTGCAGACAGACGGCTCCAGGACCCCCACTGCCGCTCAGGGGTGTCCAGACAATAGGCGGCAGAGTGACATTAACAAGACTCTGGGCTGGGAGTTCACGTCCCCCCCACGGCCCTTCATTTGGGTCTCCTTGATTCCTAAATTCCAGGGCCAGAATGGACTCTGCTCTCCTGTGCAGCACAGGCCAGTGACCCTGCCCCAAAATAACCTCGGGCGCAGCCCCTCCAGCAAAACATCGGGTCTTGCTTTAAAAATGGCCAGGGATGGAGAAGCCACCAGCCCCCTTGGGAAGTTGTTCCAATGGTTAATTACCCTCCCTGTTAATTACTGTCCCGGGGGCAGTTAACAGAGAG